CATTTTCCTCCCTGGCCCACGAGAGAACGGTTTCCACTTACTCTCTCACCCTCCCCTTCTTCCTCACATATACCTTTGTGATGGGAGGTCCATCAGTTTGCTACCGCAATTTTCCCATTTCTTCTTTCATTTGTTTACGAGTTAGGAGCAATTATACTTTGTGCTTCACCAGCATTGCAGGGGATATGTTTTATGTTTTTTCTATTATCTATCTGGTCTGCATTACAAGTTACTAGCGTACATTCTAAATCACATTTTCAATTGTTTGTATGAGTAAAATGAAAAGTCGCATGAATTCCTTTGCATTTGTTATGTTCTATGCTAGTTGTTGGCTGAGTATGTTCCCATATATTTTTATTTTTTTAGTTTCGCAGATGAACGTGGGAGGTTATTCATCTGTTCTGGCTGATTTTAGTTATCAACTGTGACGGAAAGTACCATAAAAATCTTTTGGATTACCGTATTTGAATGTTGACCCGTGGAAGTTCACTCATGCCTTCACTTGTCAAGACTTCGCTCTTCTTCTCATTATTCACTAAAATTCCATGTATATTTTCCGGCCAGAATACTCTTCGAGCTAGCCTCCAAGTCTATACCTGTCATTCTACTATATATTCTAAAAGTATACTGAAATATAGTTGCAACAGTTACTTATCTATCCACAAAGTTGGATATTTATGTACTGTTGCTTTATCTGCTACATCATCTGTTCATGAATCCTCGGCGTCTTCTACCAACAAAGTCTCCAACAGATTAAGGAAGAAAGCCCTCAGGGAATCGCCGGATAGAGTGCTTAAACATAAATTAGATATGTGCTCGAGGAATGGAAATGTTATTGAAGCACTTAAGCTTTATGACGAGGCACGGAGTAATGGCATCCAGCTTAATGAACATCACTATAATGTATTGCTATATTTGTGCTCTTCCTCTAGTTCGCTTGAAACAAGTGGAGATATTGACATATTAAGTGTGGGCCTCACCAGGGGTTTTGAGATTTTTCAGCAAATGATGATTGATAAAGTATCTCCGAATGAGGCTACATTTACAAGTGCTGCAAGAATTGCGGCTGCAAAGGATGATCCAGAAATGGCTTTTGCTTTGGTGAAGCATATGAAGGATTATGGTATTGCGCCAAGATTGAGGTCATATGCACCAGCACTGTTTGGCTTCTGTAGGAAGCTAATGTCAAAAGAAGCTTATGAAGTTGATTCCCACATGGTTGCATCTCAGGTGCAGGCTGAAGAACCTGAGCTTTCTGCTCTTCTAAAACTCAGTTCTGATGTGAAGAAGACCGATAAGGTCTATGAATTTCTGCATCGCTTGAGAAAAACAGTGAGGCAGGTCTCGGAACCTACTGTCAAAATTGTTGAAGATTGGTTTAAGTCAGAAAGTGCAGCAGAAGTTGGGAAGAAACGTTGGGATGCGAGCAAGGTTAGGGAAGCAATAACTAGACGAGGTGGAGGGTGGCATGGACAAGGTTGGCTGGGTAGTGGTAATTGGAGGTTGGTGAGAACTCAGATGGATGATAATGGCGTTTGTCATTCATGTGCCCGAAAACTTGTTTGCATTGATATTGATCCAAAAGAAACTGAAAGTTTTGCTGCTTCATTAACCAAGTTGGCTTGCCAAAGAGAAGCTAAAGCTGGATTTAATCAGTTCCAGGTATGATAGTTTCTTCTTTCAACCCCAAACTTTATGGTTGAAATTTTAGTTGTTCACAAAGTGAATAGCTTAGAATATCTATCTATTGTGAATTGTGATAGATGTAAACGCAGAATTAGTCGAGTAGGTACTTGTTTGTGCACTTTTGCCCACCACGAATAAGTATTTATTTGAAAAATTTTGCGGGTAGCTTGATTTCCTAAAATATTTGTAAATGTTTTTGAAGAAGTAATTTTAAATCTGGCATTCTTTAAAAAGTATTTACAAATGCTCTTTTGAACGAATCCTAAGAACAATTGGAATGCTTTCAATGGCCAGAAGGGAGATTTAGCCTTTTTTGGCTGCATAGTCTACTTTAGCTTTTTCCAAATTACAACTACTTCATCATGTATTTTCTTGATATGATCTACTATTGTTTTAGCCTCAGCATTTAAATCTATAGAACAAGGCAAATTCATCATATCAACAGTTAAATGTGGAGATCTGGTATACACTATCTCAACACGTTTTGTCTATAGATCTGTTCTTCATATTATTGAATGCGGATTTTGCTTGTGAGGGACTTATCCCATTACTTAGGCTTGTCATCGTTAAGGCATCAAACTAAATTCTCTATCATCTTGTTGTCACTTCTATTTGACCACCAGGTTGGGGATGATCATCACTTAATAAAGAACAAAAGATTCTACCAATGCCTCACTAAAAAATTAGAGCCCTTTTCTGTAACATCCTGCTTTTATGTTGTTTGTCTCCTTTGTATGTGCTCTTGTTGTGTTGGTCGCTCTCTTTCTCTCCCTTTTTTTCCCTTGCTTGCCCACTTGTGTTCTTTTATTTATACTAACAAAAGCTTGGTTCCTCATGATTCACTAAAAAATTGCTTTTAATTAATAGCCCCTAGGAGAAGCCAATATTTTAGCTCTATCCCATTAACTCTATGAGATTCTTCAAACTTCTTAATCATAATATGTTTGACACTGTTATTGGCTAATTAACCAAGAAAAAAAAGGTAGAACCTGCACATTACCACAAATTCTTCTTGAGGGAGTCACTCCTCCGTACAAATTCATTGAAATATAGGTTGTGTCACATTCAGGTGAGGTTAAGATGAAAATAACTTTCTATTCCGTGAGGAGTGTAATATAAATGTTTACTTTTTGTTCTTCCTATGTCTTCTCTTCATCATACTTATTCATTATACATCTGGGCAATCATCAGTATTACATCTTTGCTTTAGGCAAGTAACATATTAATTTATTTTGGGCCAAATCCTGACTGGTTTTGAAGGTGAAATAATTCAGGAGTGGCTTGAAAAGCATGGTCCTTTTGATGCTGTTATTGATGGTGCCAATGTGGGTCTTGGTAATCAACATCAGTTCAGCTTTATCCAGGTGATATATCCTGAAGTTTATTCAATAAATTCATACAGAACGAGTTCCTTAGAGAGAGTACTGTTTCTCTGTTTGTTGTGATGGGTAAGTACTGCTCTTTTCTTATTGCAGCTCAAAAGAGTTGTATATCAAATGCGTCAGATAAGTCCTTCAAAAAGAATGCCACTCATAATTTTGCATAGAAGTCGTGTAACTGGAGGTCCTGCACAAAATCCTAATAATAAGAAATTGATAGAGACATGGAAAGAATGTGGTGCGCTCTATGCTACCCCTCTTGGGTCCAATGATGACTGGTATGCATCTTTCTTGCAATAATTTAGTTATTTACTTGAATGTTTGAAAATTTCAGGGTTTCACTAAAAGTACGAGCTCAAGTTCTGTGTTAGTTTCTGTCCATAA